CTGCCTTACAGCACACTTCGGGGGAGGAAATCTCTTCCTCCTCCTCCGTCCCCCATGGGGAGCGAGACGCGTCTCCTCCTTCCCCGAAGCCAGTGTAGCTCCCGGGGCAGCCGGGGCACAGGCCCTCCGGGGTCTCCCTCGTGCTGACCTCCTGGGCAGCCTGGAAAGAACCTTTCTCCCTTGGAACCTGTGTCCTTGTTTTCCTAAAGGAACCAGAGCGCTTGCTTCAGGACCAAACTGAGCCTGGCGGGTGGCATGTGGGTCCGCGGGCTTGTTTGTTTGTGATTCATACCTGGGCTCCTGCCAGAGCGCGGTTGACGACGCTCGGGGCGAGCCAACAGCGGGCGAGCCAGGTGGCGAGGAAGCCCAGCGCTGGCAGAGAAAGGCCCCTGTTCTCCGGAGCCGGGAAGCCCCGCCAGGGGGCCGATCGCCCCCGAACGGCGGGGAGGGCTGCCCGCTGGTGGCAGTCTGTCTGGGCTGTGCCTCCGCTACAGGTTGAGACGTGCGAAGAACTTGACTTTTGCTTGTTGGTTTTTGCAGACACCCTTGGAGTTTCCTAACTGTGAAAGGAAATCCCTCTTCTTCCGTCGAAGACCACATTGAATATCACGGTAATAAATAGTTGGCAAGAGGCTGCATCCCCGCCGGCGTCCCTCTGAACACGGGGCCCTTTCCGAACCCCCCTCTTCCCTCCGAGCATCGCGGAGCCCCCTTCAACACCCTTCGTCCCGAACGTGTCACGCCAAAGCGGCGAAAGCCGATCACAGAGATAATATTTAACGTATTTGCAAAGAGGTGGTCGCTGACTTAATTCGAAATGAGTGACCTAGGACAGGCGGGAGCTGGGACAATCCAGCAGAGATAGTCTTTGGAGCTAAAAAGAGTGTATGGATGGGCCTTTACCACCCAGGGGGGCCTCCTCTGCCCGGAGAAGTCTGCGGAAGGCACTGTTCTAATCTTAGGCGGGAATTCACGTGAGAAATTACGCGCCTCCGAAATATAGATTTGCCGGAACACCGGAATCAAGCTTTTATTTGTTTTAATGCTTATTTACTTGTGAGTGAGAGCCCACACGCAAAACAGGCTCGGCGCTGGCAGCAGAGAGCCTAACGCGGGGCTCAAGCTCACGAACCGCGAGGTCATCCCCCAGAGATGAAAACCCTGGGTCGACTGAGCCACCCAGGCGCCCCTCCAAAAGTTGACTCTTCAAACAGAATCACGAGAAGGGACAGTAGACGTAATCCGCCGTCTGCTTCCCAAGTAGAAACATTAGCCTGAAACTTTTTTTTTTTTTT